AAGTTATGTGTAACTTGGCGGCATGAAACGTCCTCTCGACAGATCTTTTGAGTCGACGTGTTAGAATATCACCCGCTATGTCGCCTTTAAAGTCAAGTTTCAGATATAAGGTCTTTTTACTGACCGTGTCGCAATGTCTTCTCTTTTTAATACTTTGTACGAGGTATTTTTTGACGAAATTATCCGGATAGCCATTATTACGTAATGTGTTCTTTAGTATAACTATTTCTTCCTCCACACTGTCTTCAGAACATAATACCTTGATTCTGTGGTTGAGACACTTAACCAAATTTATTTTATATTGCAGAGGTGTGAAGCTTTGGAAATGGGTATACTGACCCGTCCATGTACACTTTCTAAACATATTTCGCTTTATGGAACCATCTATCCTTCTAGAGAGTCGGACATCTAGAAAAGCTATGCTATTGTCCTTTTCCTCCTCGCTGGTGAATTTAATGGCTGGGTGGACATTATTGAAAGCGTCTAACATCTCCTGTTTGTCGATATTTTCGTCACATATGATTAATGTGTCATCTATGTATCGACAGTAATAATCAAGCTTATTTAAGATGTCTTTAAGCGGTCCATTTTCTAGTTTGGTCAGAAAAATATTAGCAAGGATCGGGCCTAGAGGTGATCCCATTGCTACCCCATCTACTTGTCGGAAAAATTCATTGTTAAACTTAAAGCAGATATTCATAGTGCATTTCAAGAGAAGTTCTTTCATTTTATTTATTGGGATAGGAATCTCTATTTTCTTTTCTATCAGTTGTTCACATATGTAATCTATAGTTTCAGTCAGAGGGATGTTAGTGAACAAAGATGTTATGTCTAGTGATAGCATGGTTTTTCCATTTATATTCATATTTTTAATTGTATCAACAAATTCAAAGACGTCTTTAACATTATGCTTAGCAAGTTCTTGGTGCAATGGTTCTAATAACTTAACTAACCATTTTGCTGTTGAATGGTATGGTGAATTTTCCATATCCAGTATCGGGCGTAGAGGAATATCAGGTTTATGGATCTTAGGTAGACCATATAGTCGAGGGGTATGTGTTCCAGAAGGCTTAAGCATATTATAGGTATGCTCAGAGATGTGTTGGTGTTGATTTAAAAATTTTAATGCTGCAGTTAGTTGACGTTCGGTCTTTTCATTGAGGTCTTTACATGACCCAAGCTTTTGGAATTTAGTTTGATCACTCAGTAGGGAATTCATCTTATCTATGTAGTCTGTCTTGTTTAGAATTACCGTGCCCGATCCTTTATCAGGTTTAGTGATAAGAATGTGTTCATTCAACTTGAGTTTCCGGATGGCCTCACGATGTTTATCTGTCAATATACTATTTGTGTAGTGCTTATTGCTTTTAAATTGGTTACAGCAATCAACCAGCGTGGTTTTGAATCGTTCATGTTCGACCTTTGTCGTGGGTTTTAAGTCTTGTGTCTGGGTAAATAGATTCTCGAACTGAACATCAGTCTTCAAATGATCAACATGTCTACGACTATCACAAAACTTAGGACCTAATGATAACACTTCTAGTTGAGTCCTATCAAGATTAACAGAGAGAAAAACAATTGTATGTTTACACAGTGAAAAACGAGATATACAGTATCAAAGCAAAAAAGTCGGACCAACAATAATAATAGTAAAGTCACATCAAATTAAAATAACCCATTATGTCATTGAACAAGAATAGAATTCAGTGAGGCAAATTTTCTTTTCGATGAAATCATTTACTTAACCTATACATTCGTATTTATAGTTGTATGATAAGTATATAAAGGTAGAAAAGATTGCATCATAAAGTGATTCAAGACTCTAATTATCAAATGGAGTTATGTAATAATTAGGGGATTAGATAAGAATAGAAGAATGTAAAGTTGAAATAAATGATTTCGTCGAATGGAAAATTTTCTTCGCTGAACTCTCTTCTTTTTTTAATTCAACTACATTAAATTACACAGATTGAATCATGAGTCAGTTGAAGCTAGACCACCACGGAAAACCTGGAAGCACTGAACGGCCGTTTCGTCCTAGTATGGGACTTCTCGGCAGTTCAACCAGGTCTGTTGTGAGATATCAGCTCACTGAAGACAATGGTATATGGTGGCGCAAAATCGTGGATTGGTTGAAGTTAGACATTAACAGCGTCGGATGCCGGCTCAGCGGTCTGATGGTTAAGTGCTCGCGCGCGAAGCCAGTAGGTCCTGGGTTCGAATCCCGCGGGGTGCGGGATCATGGTGCGCACGGCTGAGTCGCACACTAGGGGGAACGGCCGTCCAGTGCTCCCAGGTTTTCCATGGTGATCTAGCTTCAACGGACTCATGATTTCAATCTGCGAAATTTCTAAAATCTCAACAAACCCATCCTGACATATCAAATTAATTGGTAAATTAATTTTAAGAAAACAATTTCGATAGCAGGTAATTAAAATGAAAGAAAAACTTTCAAAACTATGTATCAAAAGTACTTGATGTTTGAAAAAATGTTAATTGATGAAAACATCCGTAAAAACTAATGATAATAATAATAGTAATAATAGTGATCATAATAATAATAATAGTAGTAATAATGATAATAGTAATATTAATTTTATAAATAGTCAAACATAATCTCTTCTGGTAACAGATAGATAAATTCAATTAGTTTAAATAAGGTTTCTGCTTAATTTATGTTATTTATTCAATAATCAAACAATAAAAAAACACAATGTGCATTAGAAATGTTGAACAAGGGAAAAAGTTGGAATAAAATGAAATGAAGATTTAAAAAAAAATAATGAAAATTATAATAAATTGAATTGATTTATTTAGTATTGAGTATAATTGTTTTTTTATTTACTTAGTGATTCATTTATAGTTTACAATATAATTGATTGACATTTAGAAGTGATTCAATATGGAGACAACAATAGACAAGTGAAATTATTTATAAACACTAATATATATATATATATATAATATTAAATTGTATAAACTTTGTAGAGACAATTATATTAGAATAGAACTATCTGGAAAGTTAGTCAATGATGTAGAAAATTTGTAGTTCAGACGGATGCTTTTGATGGTGTTTTGTTTTCGGGATAAATGGATTATCAGTATGATGGTTGTAGGGATTGTTAGATTTGATTGAGATCACAAACTAAACTAAGTGAATAGGTATCATTGCCAAGGTTTGATTTGATAATTTTGAATAAATTGAGCACTGGGTAGATTATTATAAATAAAAATAATAAATTTGTAATATCTTAATGGGGAGAAAAATTAGATTTTCTGACGTTTCGTGACTCAGTGTAAGCCACTTCTTTGGAGAATAAATAACCATATTAAAATTAACTCAAGTTTAAATAGTACAACGGAACAATCATTTAAACTTGGATTAATTTCAATTTGGTTATTTGTTCTCTGAAGAAGTGGCTTACACTGAGTCACAAAACGTCAGAAAATCTAATTTTTCTCCCCATTAAGATATTACAAATTTATTATTTATTTATAAACCAAGTTAAACAACCAATGAGAACCTAGAAGGACATGATAGCCGTCTTGATGTAATACACTCATTTCTAACCTTGTGCAAGACCCAGTGGTATATAAATTTGATTGTTGAGGTTTAATTTCCGTTCTAAGTAACATCTCCAGTGTCTACCTCATGCAGATGTCCAAAATGATAATGAAAAGGCCGCAACAACATCATTTAGCTCAGAGCGTACAACATCATTGAAAGTTAATCAAGTTATTTATTCAAATATAGTCAAAATTAAATGAGATGAAAATTTAAAAGAAATTTGCTATTACTTCATATAATGGAAACGTAGTAGTAGTGAAATTAAAATCAGACTAATAATACGTCCATGGTATCACCAGTGAATTTGCCCTAGAATATGAACTACTACTTATGTATTGAAGCATAATATGAGCACGTTAATCACTCATCCATGAGAAAAGTGTATTGCAGTATCTATTAACCTTTTAATAGTCAATCAGCCAATCAGACAATATAGTTACAATTTTCATTATTTATTACGTCGGATAAGTGCTAATTTTGTTATTATTTATTAATAATAATACTAGTATTATTGCCAATCTTAGTTTTAAAATCTCACAGTTAATAATAATGATAGTAATAATAATGCACCTTATATTTAATATTAATTGTATGATTCAGTAATAGATTGTGCTCGAAAAGTTAGTAAGGGAACATAAAGTGACAACCCGTAACATGGTATCCATTAAAAAGGGGACAACCAAAACACCTTGCATTAACAAGGGTGACCACCAAAAGGAAACATATTAATAAATGTGGGTATTTGCCCTTTGTTGTAGGAGAATGGCATGAGATGCAGATAGCACATTACTATCAATCAACTGAATTCTAAAAATTGTGGACTGTAAAATTCCATTTAATGGTTGTAATTTTTTTCGGCTGCAAAAGCTGAAACTTTCAGTATCAAGTCTCTGAAGATTCATGCTTTTTCATGACTGAGAGGCACCAGACAAAAATGAAACATCTATCTAAAGTAATACACTGGTTTTTAATGATTTGTTAATTAATTATTGTCATTTTGTGATGAAGATTATCATCCTATGGAACAGAAAGGAAATTAGCTGGTTTATAAGTTTGAGGTCCATCCTATATTTTCTCTCAATTCATCTAAGAAAAATAAATATCTTTCTGAGTGTTTATCGTCATTTTTATGTGAGCATCATTTGCACATAGTTAAAAAGAAAGTTATTCATAATTCATGGCAGATTCTTCCATGATGAAAAAATCAAATATGTTAATCAAGTAAAAATTACATTTGGATTGAACAAATTTAGCTTAAACACTCGTACTACTTATGATTAGTATAATGACTTAGAGTGAAAATGTGTGGTTTTCATTAGAAATTAGAGGTGATTCGATCACAAGTTAACTTGGAAATAATTCTACTAATCATAAACATAATAGAATATTAATTAGAATGAGAAGACAAATTAGTTCGAAAAGGGGAACTTACATTTCTCTAAAAGTATGGGTGGATTGTACACTAAGCTTGTCTGACTCCAGTAAAGTGGCACAGATCCACGACATTGCAGAAATACAACTGTATGTGGAAATTGACCGATGTCTGTATGCAAAATCTGTACGAAATGCCAAACAATAAAAATGACAATTACTACTATTATTAAGGTGTGAAATTAAACAAAGAAAAATGAAATTTTGCATGACTAATTAGATCTCAAGTTGGGTGTTTGAATATTTATTTAGGCTACCTGTTCCAGCCATTTAGATATTTCAACAAGTTATCCGTTTCTGTTTGTTTTAACACATCATTATGTCTATTAATCGCATGACTTATTCAAGCGCGTTTATGAAAAGTTCACGACCTTTCTATGCACAAGTTATAAAAAAGTACAATTAGAGATATCATGGAGGCTGGCAATATGCACTGAAAGAATGAACACTATTTAGATGTTGATTCCTGAACAGCTAACTCCTAACTGGTGACCACTCAATATTCATCGTCAGGATCGATCAAGAAATAAGAAACGGAAAATTGCTTAAATGCTCTGTGTTAAAAATTCTAACAAAAATATAATATTGAACAAAGCCATTAATAATAATAATTCAGAAATGATATTACATTAAAAAAACGACAGCATGTAAAACAATAAAACTACATAGTTGAATGACAAATGTGGGTCTTAACTGTTAAACCAAAAGATATGAAACAAATAAACAGAAATTTAACATTTCAATCGTACAATAATAAAAAAAGTACAAATGTTTTTTTATTTTTTAGTGTAAACTGATAGATAACATATACCAAGCAAGTCCTATTATATAATCATTATTTGTATGATAACTAACATAACGGTTCCATCTTGCTTGTTTTACATGGTGAGAACTTTTATACATGTAAATGAGCTTTAATCTAAATTATAATGTTTGTATATTATAATTTATGTCTGATTATTATCTTTACGATTGGCTGACACATTTCAAATATTTCTTCTGAATGTCAGTAACTAAAGTATTTTAAACACACATTCTTAGTCATATTGTAGTGAAGGAACACTCAGGTGAGCGAAACCAATTTATTGTTTGATACGAACCACAGAATGTTCTCATAAGTTATGAAAACCATACATCCAATACATTATTTACACATCTTTATTCATTTGTACATGCTTCACGATTCTTTCAATTCTGTTGTTATTATCATTGCTCATCGTTTCTCTTTCTCTTCTCTTCAATTCAATCTTCTGCTGGCAAACATTCTCCTTCCGATTGGTGCTACATACTACTTATATCTGTCAACATAAGTAGCATACATCGTTATATTGTTCTTTGTAATTTTAAACAATTGCGAAGTTGTTGAACTTGAAATGAATCAATTTTATAATGAAAGTCTTGTCATGTTTGTGTTATTCAAAATTATAAAAGAAAATATTAATTAACTGAATGATTTATTTGGTTAGGTGGAATTTTTGTTTTGCAAGCTCATTTCAAATGTAGATAGTTTCGAAAAGAACAGAAAAAAAAGTAATAGACTTATTGATTTACTATTTCATCCAAGAGATTTATAGTTTAAATTTTATTCAAGAAAAACTAATTGGAACGATAGATGAAAAGGTAACTTTCATTGTAGAAAATTATAATTTACAATTGATTGGTCACTGGATGGTGATCAATGTCATGTGTGATAGGTCCTTTTCAGTGCAGATCGAATCCTATCGATCAAGTTGCAGCGTGGCCACCAGTCTAGGTGACTCGATATTGCGTGCACTGTGTTGAGATAAGATGGTGGTTGGGGTAGTCGACAGGAAACCCTGGACCTAGGTTTCGTGCAACTTGGCACTCGTCAGCAAGGTATACCTGTAATCTTGAGAGAACTGATGTTTCCTGACGGATTCGACCCCATGTAACCCAGGTTCACAGTCAGAGACGTTACCACTGAGGTATCGGGGCCGCGACTGACCTCCTGTGGGACTAAGATGTATTTACGATTTGGTGACACGGGGCCGAAACCGTCAGGAAGCATCAGTTCTCTCAAGATTACGGGTGCACTTTGCTGACGAGTGCCAAGTAGCACGAAACCTAGGTTCAGGATTTCCTGTTGACTACCTCCAACCACCATCTTATCTTAATGTAGAAAATTATAAGCAATACCATAGGAAGAATAAATACAGAAAAACCTACTTGTTCTGTTTCAACATAATTAGCCACATGACCATTCATATCAATTCCACGACGTCTATAACGAGTACCTAGAAAAACAAAAGAGAAAAGTAAGAAGTAAGGGTAGAGTTTTTATTTTACACTAGAAATGGAAATAAAATGTACCCAACTATCATACGATGCTTAATTAATTTGACTCATGTACAATAGAGGATGGAAAGTGAATAGTCTATCAAAAACTAATCGAAAACAATGAATTAATTCACACTTAATTCTGAAAATTATTCAAACAAAATGTTTTACGAATTCCATATCAATAATTCATTATATAAGACTGCTAAGAAACTGTTGACTATTACATAAAAACGAAGTAATATCTGGTGTCAATAGTTGAAATCATGAGTTGATTGAAGCTAGACTATCATGGATAACCTGGAAGCATTGGACGGCCGTTTCGTCCTAGTATGGGACTCCCCAGCAGTGCGCATCCACAATCTCACCAGCCGCGAGATTCGAACCCAAGACACATCACTCTCGCGCGCGAGCACTTAACCATCAGACTACTGAGCTGACCGGCATCCAACGGTGTTAATGTCTAACTCCAACTAATCCACGAAATTGAGCAACCGCACACCATTGTCTTCAGTGAGCTAATATCTCACAACAGACCTGGTTGAACTCCATTGGTAACGGTTTCTCACTAGAACTCCAGGAAATGTCTCTTGAAATCACATAAAAGGACGAAACGGCCGCTCAGTGTTTCCAGGTTATCCATGGTGGTCTAGCTTCAATTGACTCATTATTTGAACTATTGAAATTACTAAAATCTCCACAAAACCCCTTCTAATAATATCTGATGTGTTTATTTATTGTTTGTGATATGGAATGGCGTTTAATTTTATTCAAACTAAGATAAATAATATAGACAATTAAATTTACATTATAAATTAGTGAATTAATGAGTAATGTAAATGGAATGTTGAATGAAACTGGTTAAAATTATTTAATCAATTAAGTAAGCAAACAAAAATTTATATATCAGAAAAGATAGATATAAGATATTTTGTAGATTAGGTATTATGTGGTAAAAGACAAAGAAAAAAACGGGTCAGTTGTTCAATAAAGTAATTTTATTCAGTACATAAAAATATTTCATCCAATTAGTACCATTTATGAAATTAAATAAAACTAGAACAAATATGGATGCAGAATAATATGAATTCATTATATTTCGTGGTTTCTCATCAGCTACTAATAACCAAATATGTATTAGAATTTTACATTGAAGTAAGATATAGTGTGAAACAATTGACATAGGTGAACAAAAAAAGCTGAAATGACAAGTTGCTTACACTTGTTACCCCTCGGGGAGGAGCATAGGCCATCAACCAACACTCTCCATACAACCTTGTCCTGGCCAATCCTTTCCAGTTACTATCCATCCTTTTCATATCTGCTTCCGATTCCCGACGCAGCGTCTTCTTCGACATTTTGCTTTTCCGCTTCCTCTCAGGATCTCAGGTCAAGGATTGCCTCGTGATGCAGTTTGGTGATTTCCGCAATGTATGTCCTATCCATTTCCATCGTCTTTTCCTAATTTCCTCTTCAGCTAGAAGATGGCTTGTTCTCTCCCACAAAAGGCTGTTGCTGATGGTATCCGGCCAATCGATGTTGAGTATCTTGTGTAGACAGCTATTTATAAATACTTGTACCTTTTTGATGGTGGTGGTTGTAGTTCTCCAAGTTTCAGCTCCATACACTGGAACTGCCTCGACGTTCGTATTGAAGATTCTCACTTTGATATTGGTTGAAAGTTGTTTTGAGTCCCATATGTTCTTCAATTGTAGGAATGCGACCCTTGCTTTGCCGATCCTCGCCTTCACGTCTGCATCTGAACCTCCTTGTTCATCGATGATGCTTCCTAGGTATGTGAGGGACTCTACATCTCCCAGAGTTTCGACATCAAGAGTGATTGGATTGCTGTTCTCCGTTTTGAATTTGAGGACCTTGGTTTTCCCCTTGTGTATGTTGAGGCCTACTGATGCAGAGACTACTGCTACACTGGTTGTCTTTATCTGTATTTGTTCGTGTGTATGCGATAAGAGGGCTAGGTCATCTGCAAAGTCCAAATCGTCTAATTCATTCTGAGCTGTCCATTGTATTCTGTGTTTTCTCTCAGATGTCGAGGTCTTCATAATCTAGTTAATCACCAGAAGAAAGAGAAAAGGAGAGAGTAAACAGCCTTGTATGACTCCGGTCCTTACTTGGAATGCATCTGTCAGCTCTCCTCCATGCACGACATTGCACTGTAGTCCGTCGTATGAGTTCCGGATAATGTTAACTATATTCTCAGGAACTCCATAGTGTCGCAGAAGTTTCCATAATGTCCTTCTATCTACACTGTCAAACGCCTTCTCATAATTAATGAAGTTGATGCATAGCGACGAATTCCATTCAACTGATTGTTTAACGATAATCCGTAGTGTCGCAATTCGGTTTATGCACGACTGGTCCTTACGGAATACAGCCTGTTGATTTATAAGTTGGGCGTGTGCTGTGTCTTTCACCCGGCTCAATAGAACTCTGTTGAAAACTTTTCGTGGTACTGACAGTGGTGTGATGCCTCCATAGTTCTCACATTTACTCAGATCGCCTTTCTTTGGTATTTTGATGAGGTATCCTTCTTCCTAGTCCATCAGCACCTGTTCCTCCTCCTAAATCTTCTTGAATATAAGGTTAAGCATACTTGCAGTTACTTCTATGTCTGACTTCAGTGCTTCGGCTGGTATATTGTCAGGTCCTGCTGCTTTCCCACACTTAATTTGTCTGATGACCGGCCATTCTGATTTCTTCAATCTTTGGTGCAGTGACATCCATAGGAAGGTCTGTGTGCTGCTTCGATGTTCAGTGAATTCAATCGAGCTGGTCTATTCAAGAGTTCTTCGAAGAATTCTACCCATCTGTTCTTCTGTTCTTGAATCTGTGATTGTCTTGCCTTCTTTGTCCTTGACCGGTTTCTCTGGTTTACTATATATCCCTGCTATTTTCTTCGTTGTGTCATATAACTGTCTCATATTTCCTTCTCTTGCAGCTTTTTCCAATCTCGTTGCTCGTTCTTCCACGTATTTCTACTTGTCGGCTCTAATGCTCCTTTTCACTTGCTTTTTTGCTTCAGAATAGTCAGCCTGTGCCTTGACCTTCTCTGTTTTTGTCTGACTGTTGATAGTTACCGACTTCTTGTTCCTCCTTTCTTGAATCTTGTCTAGGTTTCCCATACAGATCCATTCTTATGATGATGCTTCTTGTGTAAATCCTTCATTACCTCCAAAGTTATCACACAATTTATTTTATCTGTCTCTGAATCTCACCTAATTAATGCAGATATATATATGGTTGTAAGTAGCTGATGAGAAACCACGAAATGTAATGAATTCATATTATCCTACATCCATGTTTGTTCCGGTTTTATTCAAATTAATAAAAATATTGGTTGATAATCATCAAAGTGGGACTATTTATTTGAATTTTTTATTTGTTAGTAACCTTTCATAAAGTGACAGCAATGTAGATAATATTCGTAGTACTTTAAAAATAAATAAGTCGGCATCAAATTAAACGAGCTATTAAAACTAATAATAATAACAACACTAATAGTGGTAATAAACCATTTTACTCACATTTCAATCATCAGTAGGTATATTTATCATCCAGAAACATCACGTATCGACTTAAGGCTTCTGGCTAATGGTGGGGACAGATAATAACTGAGTGTGATACCCGTGTTTACTATCGCATTATTTTGCATATAAGTTCAATTTTTTTATTAGGTCAGATTTATGTACTTGTTAAATGCAGTGCAGAATTCCGTTAACTAGTAATCAATGAATCTAGTCTTGTATATAACTGAGTGAAATGTTATTATAGATGAAGGTATTGGATTTGAAGTAAAACATAAAAAGCAAAACAAACAGCGCTTGCTCCCTTTCTTGTATTAAGCCAACATCAAGTTTCCTTTCCAATTATATACCATTTCTGAGATCGGATCCTAGTCTCAATCATATCACAGTCTTCGTTCGCAGTCATACCAGGGTCCGTTCTCATGCCTTTAGTACGAATGTCATCCCAGCGGATTCCACGTCGTGCATTATATGCTGACACTGAGACCGGTTGGAAAAAGCGGAGAAATGGGGATTATATGACATGGTGTCGTGGTATTGTGGTGAACGAAACTAATTTATTGTTTAACGCAGAATTATGTATTAAATACATCATTTGCACGTCTTTGCGTTTTCCTTTACCTAGTCGATTATTCCTCTAATTCTGTTGTTATTTTCATTGATCTACGATTTCCTTTCTGTTTCCTTCAATTCAATATCCCTCTCCAAGGCATTCTACTTTAGATTGCAGCTGCATGCTACTTATATATGTCAGCATAAGTAGCAAATACCACAATATGAAAGAAAGCTGTACAAGACTGGCTTCTGTTGGTCCTTCACGACTCGCTGGTTGTGGTCTTAGAGACAGTATAACATAGTGGCTTGAGACGTTATCAGATATGACACAGAATAGAAGGCAGTGGCGATCCTACTATAACTTTCTTTTACTGTCTTCATTAAAGTGAACGTAACCTATTTGACTGAAAGAATTCCTTCTGGATGTATATTTCCCAACTGAACTGCTTCTCGCATTATTATTATTATTATTTCGCTCCCATACAATAATTTCTGTTCGTTGTTGTTCTTCTTTTATTATACGCACTTTACATTCTTTATGCTGTACCGTCTCTAAGATTCCAACCAGGGAGCCGTGAAAAATCAACAGAAGCCAGTCCTGTACAGCTTTTTTCCATATCACGACACTATGTCATACACTGACCACCTCTCCGGCTTTTCAAACCGAACTCTGTTGGCAAATAATGCACGACGTGGAGTTCTCTGCGAAGACACATCCAAACCACTGAAGTCGAGGTTTCAAGATAGTAGCACTAATTGAATTGTCGCTGCTATGTCCGAACACACGACGCCGAACATCCACATTACTGACATGTTGCCACTGTGTGTCAGCGCCAAAGATGGCCTACATTGACATAAGCTGCGCAGTTGCAGGAGATGGTCACCGTTATCTGACCTGCGGCTAACAAGTTTCCACCGGCCACCTAAACAACTCTCTTCTGTGCCTAGAGACTCGACTAGTACTAGTACTACAATATCTGTCGAACGCACCTTCTGTAGAAGAACTGTTAACTGGTGGAAAAAACATATCCTTGATAGCATCCGGGCTGCAATCTATCGGAGCATAGGCGGAGATGACCAAAAGACATCGTTTCTTACGCTGATTTCTCCTTACTTTGAAGGAAATTTCTAATCTAACAGCGCATAACCGACAGCTAATGGGGATCCAATTGATTAGTGCTGCCTAAGCTCTAGTGCCTAGTGCAACACCAACATTAACGAAACCAGACGATGTCATAGGGTTCCCGGATAAACGCAGGTGAAACATGCTTTTCGAAGCGATAGATCGAGATCGAATCTGTAGCACTTCACTAGAGTTTTGAATATGGGTCTCAGATAGACAACAGATATCGATGTCGAGATCTTCTAAGGATGTGACCAACCCTATTTGTTGTCCGATCTGCATTAGTGCGTGAACGTTGAAGGAGGCCAGTCTGAATGGTATATGTGGTATCAGAAAGACTGGTTTAGTATTCGTATTCGGTGGTAGCATTCAACTTTCCATCAGTCAGTGACTTGAGATCGTTTAGATACGACAGGGATTCCACCATAGGTGAGCTTCTGTATAAGTTGAAAAATAAAATACGCAAAATGAAAATAAAGGTGAATACACAAGTGGGGTAGTATAAAAGAAATAAACACGAATGCTATCATACAATTGTGAATAAGATTTATTTGAGAAAGTGTTGAAGCAAGAGGAACTTTTCCAGGGGTAGTTCTAATTGGTTTGTGTGAGGGCTGTGATACTTGAGACAGGAACTCTCTCGCAAAAACAAGTTCTCCTATCATTGCAAACATCTGCTTTCCCGCTGAAGTATACTTCTACATTAGTTATTTAATCTAATCACGTTGAATTTGTTAACATTTCAGTAGCATTTACTCACTTGTTTGAAACACATCTACAGAATGTGATTGCATTGTTGTTTTCACTGACATGTGAGCAAAACAGAACGCTGTCACATTCAAATGACTAGTCTAAAGTGAGATGAAATATTCTTCATGAACCGCAAAACATAAACAAATTTTAATTAAACAAGTATGAATATCAAAACAAAAAAAGCGTAAAAATAACTTACCAGCTCGATAACAGCTACGACGTGAAAATATTATAACTGTAACATGTTCCATATCTCTAATGATCATTGGCTTTGGATGATTATGACTAGAATTCTTATTTATATTATTACTATCATATGGATTATTTTTCGACAATAAATTATTATTTGAACTTGCCGTATTACGAGTATTAGGACAAACAGTTTCAATAGTACTTTCTGTTATGGAATTACCACCATTTGTCAGTGTCGTTATATCGACTAATTTATTTATTTTGCTATGTGAAATATCCATCAAACTATTCGATTGTGACAATTTTATTCTTGAAGGTGATTGTTTTCTTTCCGTGCCTGGTGTTGGTGTTGTTGATGATGATAAAAACGATGGTATAGATGAGAAGACTGATGAATCGAATTCTACGTCTTGTTTAACACTGATATCAACATTATCATTAATATAAGTGAATGGCTGTAAGTGGTGTGCTGTTCTGCCTCCTCGAGCATCGATTGTGGATTGATCGTTTAAACCAATTATATTTATTTGATCTTCTTCATTTGAGTTTGTATTTACGGAATTATTTAAAAATTCTACACCTATTAAAGGTAAATCACTGTTTGGATTTTCAGTGAATTCTTTTGTTTTCTTTATGACATTCACTTGGAGATGACCTTGAAGTCGGTCTAAAATGAGCTCTTCAAAGTGTACATAACCTTGAACAATAGGCATTAATAGACCTTCTAAATCAGTTACTAAACCATTGAATTGAGTTAGAGATTCAGAAGATTTGAAATTAGAACCGTAGGCTGGAAAACCGCATGTTGTAAGCATACGATCTGCTTCAATAATTGGTTGAGATATTAAATGAAAATTCCAGAAGAATCTTTCATCAGCACGTCTCCAAACAGGTTGATGCCAAACAGGTTTAAATTGTTTTGAAGAGTAATATGATTGTTCTTCACCGGTAGTATTATCAGTTAAAAGATCAGTATTTACAGGTACACCATTCCAATAAGATGGGTGTGTTTTACGTTGGGTCCAATTGGTAAGATCACCTCCACCGGGCGAAAAATAGAAATAGGATTCATCTTCAGATTGAAGCATATTGATTAACTCCTTGAAATCAAACAAAAGATGATGGAAATTACATGATAATAAGTGAATGGTATATGATATACTTTTAATATTTACAAGAATTCATAACAATCCAACGATAATGGCAATTAGTTGTTACATAAGAATGGATTATATGTAATTGATATTTAGCACCATGCTCTAGCATAAAATCATGTTATCAAAGATTTTCGAAAGTGATGAGATAAATGAGGAACTATTGGATAGTTAAATGCAATAATTTTACACTAGTCATAATTTGACTAAATCAGTTAATAATCCGAAAATAACAGTACATACAGAATGATAGGCTATACTTAGTTAACACGGTTTATTTATACAATTCAATGTCTAGAGAAGATAGGTAAGTAATCTACACATTAGACTGTAAATGGGTCACGTTTACTTATCAACTGTACAATGAAAGTTATTGAGATTAACTAGATGAAAACTGATGTGTATCCAAAATACAGCCAAATCATTCCTAATCAAGTTGTGTATATCAGTTGCGTATTATACATTATCCACTGTTAGTCCCTTTTTATGTTCATCTTCGCCTCATCTGTTCTTATGAAACACTCCATTTACATGATATTACTATAATCAAATTAACTCTGACATAACATTACTTCCATTTTTATTGTATTCACATAATTTCCACTATATTTATTTGTACCTCATCACCTTACAGTTCTTCTCAAACATATTTTACACAACCCATACCTTTACTAATCACATATTTTGTAAGTAGTTAATGAGCGATCGACTTTCGTTCCAATGCTTACAATTTATCACACAAATTCTTTCTTTCTTTCTCTCTCTCTCTCTCTCTCTCTCTCTCTCTCTCTCTCTCTATATATATATATATATATATATATATATATATATATATATATATAGTGCACATGGTCAAAAGAATTTCATTAAAACGAACGTGAGTAGCTGTTTACGTTTGTTGCTTTACTACAAGATACGAAAGATTTCTTGCAGAAGTACAAAGATGAAGAATTTTCATTTACTATTTCATCAGTAAAATAACAATAACCTATAAGAATTAATCAACTGTGCAGGCTAATACTGAAGGCAATCTATTTTCACAAGCAACAGAAGATTGTCAATAACAATAAACTATCGATATGAGTAGAAAACGTCAACTCTTCGATTGTGTTTAGAGTTTGTCAATATGAGTTTTTCCAATCATCTAACAGTTACAATAAGATAAAAATGCCAATTTAGATATTACGAAACGAAAAAAAAATAACTTGAATGAAGAAAATTTTCTACTCCATAATTTCGTTATTATGAGTCTACATTGATAATATAATCGATACTAATTTCTTGGTAATAAGTTAGTTTACAGTATTACAAATTCACAGTTATTTATGAACGCAATAATGAATATTTATTGAGATATATTAGAGATTAAGATGAATATGACAGTTAAAGCGTTTTAAATTTGTTTTAATAAATGAGTTACAATAGGTTGTTATCACATTGTATAACAATTGATAAATGGCTTAGAAACTTGTTAAACGAACGTTACGCAGTGATAAACGGATGAATATTAGAAATGATTAATTACAGAATCACTCCGAGCTATTAAAATAGAATATGAGGAGAATTTTATACGATACTGATGATCAGGGTGGTAGGGAAAACGGCTGTATAAATTTCTTCTGAGATCGAAGAGTTGGTCTTGTAAGATGAATGCAAACGACTTCAACGTGGTACAGTATACACATATGCATAACACGTAGCATATTAGATAATACTTGATACACGAATAAATAAGCTTTATTTGGATTAACTTCATGTCTTATACCCAATAATCCAGATCAATCCTATCTGTTAGTTGAACTAAAAAATCAAAGGACCTGTCTAAGGATCCTCTAATTTGATTTCGTATTTGGCGTTGTAACTATTTACCATGATGACTTTTGATGAAACAGTTTTCGACAGAACTCATTATTAATGTTATCCTAGCTGCAATCAGCGAGAACGTAGGCCGAGTCACTACAGACCTATTCATCCAGAAAACGTACAGAGATACAGAATAAATTTACTCAAAGGATTTTGGAGTTCAGACTAGTGGTACTTGATGTTCAGTTTCACAGAAGATTCAAACACTGAAAGCTATAACATGTGCTTCAGAGCTTTGTTTCAAGAGACAACATACGACAGTTTGTGAGACATGATTTATAGCAGTAGTTACAAATAAGAAAGAAAATGAAGCTAGATTAATAGATTTGGTAGTACATCAAGAGAACGAAATCAATAAGCCAACGGACTGTAAAATGAATGAGCCTAATTGATGTTATGATTGTATAAGGAAATAACATTTTAATACTGCCCACACTACAGAAGAATTTTTTACTTTATGGAACCTGAGAAAAAATTGGTATTGGCATTGATTTGTGAAAAAAACAAGAGAAAACAAGGTAGAATAAGAACAACATCAGGAAATAAGAATAATGACAAAAAATAAAACGAATCACAGTAATAAGATGTTAGTCATCGATAATAGATATTTGTATTTAACTAACATCTAGACATTTCGAAAAAATGAGTTGAAGCCTTTCGACAATTAACTCATTAGGATTAATAAGCTCGAAATTCTATCATATAATCACTGGAATATAAAAATAACTTATTATCTGAAAATGATGGAATCATAAAAGAAAACAAGCCAAATATGGTGTGTAAACAGGAAATGAAGTGGGAATAAAAATATTAAATGATATTAGACGGATTTCTGTGAGTAACTAGAATTGACTGGAAAACTAGTAAACATCAAGAACTGCTACAGGACATCGGTTTTCATGTCAATTAGGGACTCGTTAGCAGTGCACACCTACAACTGCGTGGGGGTTGAAAAGCGGATTTTCAGGTTTTGTAGCAAACCAATCACGTTTACAGTGGATACCTAAGTTTCAATTAGTGTTTATTTTAACATATAAACATTGTCACAAGGAGGCACCAAATATATAGGCGCAACACTTCATCATTCGAATTTTGAGAGGGCTAGGATACCTCTCGGACGCCCGAACCAAAGCAAGGGGTTTCATAGGGAGGCACATCCCAAGCCTTTGGTCTTGAAGTATAGTCCACAAGGCAATGGAGCAACGTTAGGAGATGCAGACTCATGGCAGCCAGTAACCAAAGGTAGGTTCATACAAAATTCGTTCCCTCAGGATCCTGGATCCCATGTGCACGATCGGTTTGGAATTAGGGTTTTCCAACTCTCCTAGGTGGATTCTCTGTATCCACCAACCCGGTTAAAGTGCCGAACACTTTCTCGTCGTTCTCTCAGTTTCGTAGATAACACGCCTGCCGCAATAAGGCAGTGAGTAGCACTTCCCTGGTAGCGGCACTTCTAAAGGGAAAGCGGGGTGCCTCCAACCTCGAACGTACCAGGCATTTGGGGAGTAGTTTCGTTCTACAATAAAATGATTTTAACAAATAATGACTATGTGCTTCCCAATGATCAGCTTCGAGATGGATTTAATGAAGTTCTAATAGAGTAAGTGAATCTTAGAGTCAAATGATTTGAAAGTGTGAAGGTAACTCAACGATAACCTTTTATACAGATCGTATCATACCAGCAACTGATAGAAATTAGACATATAGACTTGTGTTAACTGTAAAATTTGTAATTCAATTTCATATGAATTATAGAATTGTTCACAGTTTTTTTTTTAATGTTTCAATTGTGAAAAGTAATCTAAATTTCATACTAAATGAAACTCCTTCAAACCTACTTAACTAATAGTTAATAAGAAAGACAGAAAGTCAATTATCGAAAATAAGAATTCTACTTTGTTGATTACTTAGTAGATTCAATTTGTTATGTTAAAATAAGGAATTAGTATAAATTTTTAAATTATTTAAAGTATAAAAGATTTTCTTACAAAAAGAAATGAGAGAAGGAAAAGGAACGAGAGAAAAAAACAACATTGGAACAAAGTAATATATAAAAGATTCAAGGAGAAACAGACTGTTATTAAAGAAATCAGACCAAGGTACACTTAAAATACACACACACACACACACACGAATGTATAAATACATTCTAATCACGTTGGATAGATGAGAACAGGAAATTGCTTCAAAACTTTACTTTAAAAAGACTACTTAAAATTTAAAAGTCTAGGATAAAGCAATCTAACTGTTCAACAGTATAATAAATTATCTTATTTATTTCTATTATCTTAGGAATATGAGGGTTCGGTCAGTCAGTCAGTTATACGAGACGTAGAACTTGTGGCATGTGTATACGTCAGTTCAAATTGTTATATCCCATTGGCATAGCAAAGAAGTTGTCCAAAAAAGTCCCAATGTAGTAGAGGTAGTAATAGTAATAGTAGTGCTATAAAAGACTCGTGAAATTAAAAAAATTATGGTGGATTTAGAAGCCTAAGAGTGAATGCATCTGCACCATTGCGCATGATTTTGAGTCATGTCACCTACAGTCTCTAACCATTGGCAACGATAATCATGCGGACATCAACCAGGCAGTCTACACCTATTTATACGGGTCAGTTTAACAGTCAGCATCCTCATGAACTGATGCCATGTTTTGGATTGACTGGTCCTAACTTCGTTCCGGCCTACTCGTACATCAGACATCATCGCGCATTGACGTATTCAGTGGAAGGCCATAAGTAGTACATATCCTGAGCATCTTAGTAAATAAAGATATACGATAAATGCTTCGACGATGCCTATGATCAAACCCTCCATCAATTGTATCAAACGTTATCGTTCCTTCATTGCCATAACAATTACTCTCTGTTCCCATTCGCTTCAAATTGATCTTTCCACCCCTTTTCTCCCAAGAATTCCACTTGTGATTGGCATTGCATGCCACTTATGTGTGATGACATAAGTAGCATACACTACAGTAATATTCAGCTGCACAAAACAGAGTGGTGGTTGGACCTAGGATTTAGTGGTTGAAAATTGAACACCTTAATCACTAAGCTACCTCTGTATTTAACATTTTAAAATTACGTTCATTCAGTAGACCCTATGCTTAACATTTTAACCGGCCAATATAATTAGGAAATATGTAAACTATTGTCAGTCATAAAAGCAACAATAATTCATGAACTCAATCATAATTTGATCGGTTTTTACAAGAAGTCTCTATGATTGATCTCTTTTATATTGATTTAGTGCTATTGTATTAACCTGAAACATTTCGTTGTGTTGTTTGAAGAGTTTTCATGTTACCACTACTATCTCTCATTTGATATAATTTATACATTCCTTATTCGATTTATTTATGATTCCAAAAATTAGCTTTAAGCATTGTGAATAGGGTTTTCACCATAAACTACGATTAAAAAAGATATTAGGGAAAACCCGAAAACATTGAAGATCCAATATTAATGCGCACTTCCAGAACTTTATAAAGCATTGAACTCATGACTTTCAAGTTTTTAGACGGGTAAAACATCAATAAGCAGCAGAATCCGAATCCAAAACAGGTACATTTTTAAACTTGAACTAATGGGTAATATAATGTGATCATTTTGAAATTCCATTCATAGGTTACAACATCGCTTTAGATATGAGTAACTCGACACATCACTGGTTCTAACTAGAACCTTTATAAATCGATTTTGAAAAAAAACTAGTCACTAGTGTGAACAAGATTATTATTTAATTATGTGATTTATGAATTAATTAGGGTTAGGGTAAATTATCGTTATGGGATCGTAAACTTAGATTTAAAAAATAACGCTTCAGTTCCCTTTGATTTTTTTGAATAATTCTTCAACTGACTTTCGACCAAGAAAATTACATTGTAATTCAATAAATTTTCATAAACCATCCAATTAAAGCAGTGACTATTTATTACCTTAATTCTAAAGAAACCCTGAACATTTAAATAACGGAAAATAGATTGATGTTTTTTTTAAAATAGAAGATTTGTTGAATAATCTTGTGGTGTGGGTTACTTATATCCACACAAGTAGTATATAACGGTGGTCAGTCATAGAATGTATTTCAGTGGAAGATCGAGGGGGAGAGAACGAGAACGAAACGCAATTAGTATGAAAACGCATGAAAAATTAAATCTGAGACAATGGATTGATGTTTGCAACAGGAACAGTCAAGTTTGAGATGATGGATTGATATTTTGCAAATTACCAATTACTATATGGTTCTCAGATTTTAGTGAGATGCTCTGTAACTTTGTACTCAAATACATTCGATTGTCCCCACTTATGTTCTTGTTCACTACAATCCCACCAAAATGTATTCAGGACAATTAAGAGTTTGGAATTCAATGTTGAAGTACAGATACCCAATAAACATTTGGTACAAAAATTGGTCAGCATAAGTTACGCTAGTGACTAATTTAATTATGTAATAATTTCCGAAAAATGCACCAGAAAGAACATGAAAAAAACTATTCAACAAAAGCAAATATTTGACTCTTGTTGCTGTGTTAATGTGATAATAGTTTTTCAAGTTAAGAAATAACAACTAATCAATGAACAACATGAAAGTAACATAATCTTACCTCTTCAATACGTTGCTCATATTTCTCTTTCCGTTTAAGTATTCTCTGATATAAGAGATGTATGTATCATCCAAAACAGTAGTATAGACAAAAATAGAAAAGCAAGGTAAGAAATACTGGATGAAAGAAAGTACAAAACATGAAATTTATTTGGTAGTATAATTGTATAATTTTATTCGCGTTATAATGAATTTGAAAGATAAAGTTCACCAAAATCATACAACATATATCAAGGTGCTGTGTTCAAATATCAACTATTATACTAATAGTATTTGGATTATTTAAAACGCTATGCAGATAATCAGAAGATCTAGCAGTGCATGTTGGAATATGGCGATGATGGTTCAATACATGTTACTATTTTGAAACGTCAGTTTCGATGACTCGGTGACCTTTTAAAATATGTTGTTCTAGTAGTTACTGTTTAGCACACTTATTGTCCCACATTAAGACTGCGAGCGGAATGGAAGAGGTGACCTACTTATGATATGATACGTAGAAATGAGGTATATTTATTTGAAAGTAACATTCGATGATTTGTCATAACTTTCTGTTGAAGTGCTAACTATTGTATATTGAAGTGCCTTTAAACAATAACCCATATACCTTAAAATACAATTTATATGGGATCCTGCTAAGATGTAGCTCTCTAAACCGAACAACGAATTAATTGGTTTTGTTCTTACTTGAATTGTCTTTAGTAATACCTTTTAATCCTTTCAAAAAGAACTATTTCTCCCTTTTTATTTAACAACACTTTTATTTCCTTCTGTGGACGTCATTTTTTAGTGTTCCGTTATACCAAGCGCTTTGCGTTATAAATCAAATAATATACGTAATTGCAATCGCATCACACTACACATGGAAATCTACCGTAAGCATAATGGTAAATTTAATTTGATTTGAGCTGTCGCAATTCTATAAACTAATCATCTCTCCTTGTCTCTTGAATTGACTTTAAATCCATAACGGGATTCATAGTGTTGACTTTACAATTTCTTCACATATCTGTTTCGTGTCTTTCACAACTCCTTAAATACTTATAACTGACATCTTATATTTAGAATAATACAACAATATAGTCAGTCAGTCAGCTACAAGGTAGGACCAGGCACATATATGCGTCGGTCCAAGTTGCCATACCACATTAACACAGCATAACGAAAACTGGATTCATAGAGGCAGTTAACTCAATGATGGTAATATATAAAAGAAAGATTTTATGTCAAGATATAATACAGTAAGAAAGAATTAATTCGTAGAAAGAAAGGTAAGAAGTGATTTTAATCTCATAGTTTAAGGGAAGACAGAGAGTGCATACACCTACGCCATTGTGATCGATTCTGAGCCATGTCACACAGAGTCTCCAACCATTGGCTACGATAGTCACACGGACCCCAACCAGATAGTCTGCATCTACCAACATGGCTCAGAACATAAGTTAGTGACTTCAAGCACTGATGCCACGTTTTGGTTTGGCCGCCCCTAACATTCTTCCAATCATCTCCAACACCGGTTAGCATTGGACATCGCGGTAATCGGTGTTCAGGCATACGTAACACGCGGCCCAACCATCTCAGTCGATGAAGATTAACAACCTCATCAACTGATTTACCATCATTACCTAATACCCTGCGTCTAACCTCACTATTACTTACCCGGTGATCCCAGCAGACGCCAGCAATATTTCTAAGGCATCTGTGGTCAAATACTAGTAGCTTACGAGTATCTTCTACTCTTGATGGCCATGTTTCGCTGCCGTAGATTAAAACAGAACGGACTGCCACGCAGTATACTCGTCCTTTTATTGATAGACGGATATCTCGCCTTCACCAAAGGTGACGTAAACTGGCAAAAGCGAAACGAGCTTTTCGAATCCGTGCTGAGATTTTGTCAGACACCAACCCATTTGGGCTGGTCAGACTCCCAAGATAAGTGAAGTTGTCAACTCGTTCGACTACTTCACTCCCTATCCTTAGTTCAGGTGATAACGCAGACCAGTCCTGAAGCAACAACTTGTATTTAGAGGGAGAGAAGCGCATCCCAAACATTCTGGCATTGTTGCTCAGTGCTACCAGAAAACTCTGCATTTTGTCGGCGTCTTCACCAAACAGGACTATGTCATCTGCATATTCTAAGTCGATAAGTGGACCTCCTGGAAGGAGATCAATACCCGAGAAGTCAGTCAAGGAGAATTTTATTTCCATCAGTAGGTCTATGATGAAGTTAAACAAAAATGGAGAAAGTGGACAGCCTTGATGGACACCATTTGAGGTTGCAAAAGCAGATGACAGTTCGCCATAAGCTGTGACTCGAGGTACGCCTTTCAATGACAGACACTGACACAGAACCTCTCGGTCTACAGAGCCAAGTCATCATTGTTGGACGCCGACGAATATGCGGTCGATGCAGCCACGGCCAGGTCTGAAGCCAGTCTGACTTTCTCGTGTTTGTAGTTCACGAGTCTTTCTTTGGCGTCCGATAATTATTGAGGCTAGTATTTTAGATGCTGTGTTAGTCAAACTACTCCCTCTATGGTTATTACAGGATGATTTTGACCCCTTCTTATGTATTGTGATTGAGACCAGTTAGATGGGATTACATTCAGTTCCCAGATCTTAGCTAAAATATTTGTCAACCTAATCGCTAAAACTGGACCACCATCCTTAAAAACTTTCGTACCCGATCCGTCTGGACCAGCTGCCCTTTCCTCAACTTCAGATAGAGTCAGGAGACCTACTTCAATGTTCCAATCAGGCTGTCTGGGAATGGTGGGCAGTCGTAGAGTAGCTGAAGGCCAGCTGAACTGCTCCTTAAAGTGTTCCACCCATCGTTCTAAACATCTGGACTGGGAGCAGATATGAGTGTCGTCTTTTTCCGATATCGTCTCACTTAAACTTGTTAATTCCGGTTTCCTTTATTAGTCTGAAGAGCTGTCTTGTATTACAAACAGCCGCCGCCTTTTCCATCTCTTTCGCATTCGTTGCCCACCACTGCTCACAGTCGTTCCTTAGACTTTTGGTTAACCTAGATTTTATTTGCTTTCGCTCTTCATCGTGTTCAGAGCCTGATGGGATGAGTTTACGATAACCCATCAGTGCGATAGAGTTAGAAGAAATCTATTGGTTTTTTCATAACCCTTTGGTTTAAATCACTAATAAATGTCACTGCTCTTTCCACAGCTGGTTGTATATCTTTTCAAGCAACATCTAGGACAGCCTTGTTTTCAGAACTACCTAAGTGTGACCTCAGTTGTTCCTGAAATTTACTCCTAGCTTTCTCGTCACTCAATTCAATTCTAATGGGTCTTCCTAGTGTGGCTTTTCTGAGTCCAGTGAGGCGCAAGCAGATCTACCCACACACTTGGTGCTATGCTTACACCTGCCAGTCCACGAGAACTAGCCATCGAGTTGCCAGATATACGAAAGGTGTATCTCGTCGGATCTACGTTTTGGGGAGGTGAGGTTAAGTGAATGACCACACTGGGATCCTGTATGCGTGTTTCAAAGACACAGCATACATCAATGGTACGAGATTCTAGAGTCTTAGCCAAGAATGCCTGATGGCCGATTTAAGACAGGATGCGTACGTTGAAGGCTCCAATGTGTAGTTTGTGGCGACGTTTCAGTAGACCTGGGACAATGTTTTGCGCGCTAGAATCGTTAGCTATGGTGACACTTGAGGAGAAAGCCAAAAGAAGAATCTTAATTTTGAATGTCAATGTAGGAGGAATAATAGGAATTGAAGAGGGAGAATGATGATGAATACAGTGGTCTTGAGTGCTGTTAGAGGTATGAAGGTGGTTATCACTTCCCAGTTGCCTACACCGTGAAAGGGTTCTTCTAGAGGTGCCTGGAAAGGAAATTGGATTAGAGGTGGTCTTAGTGACATGAGAGCGTGACCACAGTTCCCAAGAGACAACTGCTTGAAGTCAGTCACACACAGTAATTTTCGTGTTAGCTGAGTACTTGTTGAGACCTTACCGCCGGAGACGGATATCCGTGGGATAAGGCGAGGTGTGTATTTTCAGGATCGACCTCTTCTAACCCCACCCCTCCTTGTGGGAAGGCAGCATCGCTGTTATGCTGGTTGTCTGAAGGAAACACCTTACTTTCATCACACCTCTGTACGGTCAGCAGTACGACCTTGATGTATTAATCTAATGAAAATTGGATACGTAGAAATATTTAAGAGAAAATAGGATAGAAGTAGTTAATATTGTATTATAAAGAGAGTAACCAGTACAAACATTGTATTATTTTAAGCGTAAAATATAAAGAATATCTAAATTTTGTTCACAATAACAAAAATCTCAAAAAATATACTGAAAATTTCAGTGAACGATGGAAAAAAGGTAGAAAAAACATGAAAAGCAGATGAGTAAATAAAAAGCGTGATTAAAATGTTATATGTTTAACAAAGTAATATGTTTGTACAGAATAAAACACACGTACATAGGGCACACTCGCTTAAATAGTCAAGTGCGTGATATCACAACGACAAAACATAAAGTAAAATAAAAGTTAATAAACTAAATAGATACAGAAAAAAACTCCCGTGGTAATATTCTTTTGGTTGAAACTATTTCCTAATTCTCTAATAGTATGAGTAGTTTTAACTACTTTTTAAACATAAGAAATTATATATCTGTAAGGGTTGTTTCAATATTCTCGTTGTTAATATTACAGACAGTAATCAATTACTCATTTGGTATATGTGCTTCCTGTACAAATTACTTCGATATTGCTATTAAAGTATGAGTATTTTAATCAGTGTTGAATAGTGGAATCCAGGATAAATTTTTCGTCCTGACTGAGATTTATCAGTTGGATGCGCTTGTAGCCTGATGTTGATATTCATGCCGGAACTCACATCCACTATATTTTGCTCCAACTCCGCTTACAGTAAATCCACTAAGTGTGTAGAAGTGTACGATATTGGAATAGGAAATGTAATTAGTTTGTGGGGCTGATAGATAATCATACATCATCTAAGCTCAACAAGAAAAGAAGAATTCACAATAATAATAGACAAAGGTTAGAAAACGTGACTTACAATAATACAGATTTGATAATAAAGTCAAGAAACATTTGTATGCACAGTGATTAACACTGGGTTCTTGGGTAACCTCTTTTACTCCACGGTTGATAGAAAAACTGTAACATGTGGTCTCTTAAGAAGAAGATAAGTGGACAAGGAAGGTTACTGAATAGACAGTCTACAGAATTAAGGTGAGCGAAAACCACTGAAATCTTTTGTAAGTGAAGATAAAGATGCTTGCTTAGAGAATTAATGAAGTTTTAGGGTACTTAGGATTAGTTTCTGATCTAAGCGGCTATGAAAGACAAAAATAATCATGGAACAACGAGGTTGAAAAACTGGATTAAATTGAATGTTGTTTGACATAATAGCATGATAAATTGATTATTTTAGCTGAAAAGTCTCAAAAAGATCAAAAGGGAAGATAAAGAGTAAAAAATTAATAATGTTCTCAGATGTTTACTTTTCTAATATTAATATTTCAGGCTACTTGAATCACGCAGTCTAACAGTGGAAAAATAATATGCAAATTTTATACTACTCAATTTTAGTTAAATAGTTTATCTTACCCATCTTGGATTTCTAGTGTCAGGAGGTATGACATGTTTTTGCATTAGTTTCATAAAAGGACGTTGGGGAATGTTTTGTATTGTTGGTTTGGTGGTTTTCTTTGGAATTTCTGGATGAGAACGTGTACATGACTAAATAAATGTGAAGAAAGGAAGGAAAGATTATATATATATATATATGTATATATGCAGGAAATAGTTAAACACAATGGATATCAAATATCAAACACAGTTGGGCAAATAAATAAACAGGGTTGACGACTAATGTTAAAAAAGCCCTCGTCGCACCAACATTCTAATAAACAATCTTTTCACCTTTACAAAGCTCTTTTGTTTGCAATTTAACAAGAGAGAGAGAGAACAGCATGAATTTAGTCATTATGGGTATCGACAAAAAGCGGAACTTAACAGTTTCCTTGTACTCTACAGTTAGTAAGAAGGATGGTTTTTCAATAAAAGAAATAGGTTACATAAGTAGAGAAATTAATCGGGAAACAACAGTTATGAATACATTTTTCACCGAATTATAAGGGCACATCAACCAATCGATATGGTCAAGTGATAGCTTTTCATGAGGTGTATTTTAAAAATGTAACCCGAAAGGTGAGAGAAGGGAAGCTTTCAGATGAGATTCATTTTGCAAAAAAGGTCGCCTTCAAAAGCCGTACAATCAGACTTGAGAGGATTTAAAAATTTATACGCAATTCTGAAAAAGAAATAACAAAAATAGATTATAGTGACTATAAATAGTTGACTGCTTAAACAGCCAAGCTACGATCTTGCTGATGCACAAACCACATTAGATTATCTACATGTTCTATAGGCTTTTCTATTTCAATAATTTTCCTTCCGAATCGTAATATGGTAAAAATTAAGCAATAGACATAAGACCTAGATGTTATGGGTTCGATCATTAGCAGGACCATGGTTACGCACTACTGAGGAGTCTCATACTGATACGAAGTAGATGTTTGTCGCTTCCTAGTTTTTAATGGTACTTCAACTGAAATCGATCTGCAACGAATATAACCTAAAAATTTCATCAACATTGTAGAGGGTAAAATTTGTTACTTTTGTTACAGACTTCTCTTATCTATGATTTTTTGTGAATAACTGTTACAAAATAGACTCATTTTTCCCCAATTATCATTCATTCTTCCGAAAATTTCTTCACGAACAGTTTAATTAGTTGCAGTTTTATCATTTAATTCAATTTTGTTGAAAATTTATTAAAAATCTTTCTTTTCCTATTGTTTCTTTCTGTGGTATATAATAACATCTTTCTCAGGTAGAATATAATAGGTAGAGATGGAAAACAAAAAAACACCATAGCAACTAAATAAAAAACAACTGGATTCAATGAGCATTACAAGTCTATTAAAAAACTCTCTACCATTAGTTTGAATTGTTTTTTTTTAAAGATAGTTGACGATTTACACTTATAATGAATAAACTAATCTAAGTAAATAGAATTTAGCAAAAGATTATATCAACAATACGATGAGTAATAAATAATCATTTGAAATTTCTTCAGAATATTGAATTATAACTAACTGAGGATAAATTCCGTTTAATTTTCTACTACGTGATACTTGCTACTGGAAACTGTGAATAGTATGAGGCAATGAAGAATTTGAAAAAGAAGAAAAAGGAGATAGGGATAAGGAATGATTTACCTCATTAGAAAAGTCAATATAATGTCTATGTAAAGTAATGTCTACACAATTTGCACTGATCAATAGTCAGATTTGTATATATTAAACTGAGTATTACTTGCCATTATACTGATAAATAATTTATTGAATAAACACTAACCATCTATAATCAATCGATATACTAAAAATATTACTCCTTTATAGAAAATTGAAAAAAGAAATCAATATTATAAGTTACTGTCAATTTAATCTTAGCTTACAATTTTTAGTGGTCAGTAGGGTTTCCTATGTTAATTACCTTCAACATCAAAAAATAATATACATAATATTGAGTTTATTAAACTAGTGATCACAATGCAACTTAATCGATAACAACAGTGAGTACTCGAGAAATATACACAGAAACAAACAATCGAAAGTTTATGTTTTATTTAAAACCCTGTAGTTTAAAACACTTCACCATCTAGTGTAAAGAAAGCTGGTCAATCAGGATTAAAAATTCACTGAAATTGCAAAGATGGACCACTCAGTTCTTACTTAGTACTTAAAACATGTTATATATATATATATATATATATATATATATATATATATATATATATATATATATCACTACAGTAGTTGGATTTTAGGAAAATGCGTTTCGTTCTGTTTGGGACTCATCAGCTGGATGTATCTGCATGTCAATGACCAAATGAACGCAGTTATTCAGTCGACAAAGCGTTAATGTATGAAGCGAAAGGTAGTGAGTTAGTCTCAATGTAAACATCAACACAAGGATGCATGTGTATCCAGATGACAAGTTTTAAATGGAACGGACAGCACATCCCAAATTTTACCATTAGCCAAAATACATAAATTTAAGACGTGCGACAAACTGACTATATCGGGGGAATCAGCACAGGATGTAAAAATGCCAATAAACTGGTCGAAGTTCAGTCCTAAATATTAACAACAGGAGAATTGGAACTAGTACCAATAATTGTCTTTTGGTATATTATGAACTACAGATATATATTAGAAGGGGTTTTGTGGAGATTTTTTTTAGAAAATTCAGTAGGTCCTGGGTTCGAATCTCTCGGGGAACGGGATCGTGAATACGCACTGCTGAGGAGTCCCATACTAGGACGAGACGGCCGTCCACTGCTTCCAGGTTTTCCATGCTGGTCTAGCTTCAATTGACTCATGATCTCAACTATTGAAATATATATATATATATATTCTATTGATTAATGGTTATTGACTCGGTAACTAGTTTAGATGTAAATAATTTGCAAGCAAATTAAAAAGCGCTTTCGATTCCCAATAATCTGAACATTGATCTTTTTTTAACTTTTGATCATTATATCATTTTGCGCGGAACATGTGTTTTCTAACCTATTTTGGACTATTGTTGAGTAAGTGTATATTTAAACATTTACTTTAGTAAATGGTTACAAAAATGAAACAACACACACAGACACAAAACAAAGTACAAAAGCAATACTGAGCCAGTAAACAAAGTAGAATAAGCTTCCTATTTTTTTTTAAAAAAAGAAAAGGAAACAGATACAAGCACTGAATTTTAAACATGATCATACTGAAACAAAACAAACTTAAGCTATAAAATGTATATTTTAGTCAGTCTGTAATTGGTAACATACGCACAATAACCTTTACATACAGTACACAAGTTTAACAGCTGTACATTTTTCAAATTGTTATTTACATGGAGTATCAGATAATTTAGACCTTCATCTGATCAATTTAATAACTTACTTACTTACGTCTGTTACTCCTAATGGAGCATAGGCCGCCGACCAGCATTCTCCAACCCACTCTAACCTGGGCCTTCTTTTCTAATTCCATCCAATTCTTGTTCATTTTTCTCATGTCTATTTCCATTTCTCGGCGTAATGTGTTCTTTGGTCTTCCTCTTTTCCTTTGGCCTTCAGGATTCCATGTGAGGGCTTGTCTTGTGACACAGTTGGGTGCTTTCCTCAATGTGTGTCCTATTCACTTCCAGCGCTTCTTCCTGATTTCTTCCTCCGCTGGGATCTGGTTTGTTCTCTCCCACAGTACGTTGTTGCTAATAGTGTCCGGCCAACGGATCTGAAGTATTTTGCGTAGGCAACTGCTAATAAACACCTGTATTTTCTGGATGAGGGCTTTCGTAGTTCTCCAGGTTTCTGCCCCATATAGTAGAACTGTCTTGACATTTGTATTGAAAATCCTGACCTTGGTGTTGGTTGGCAGTTGCTTTGAGTTCCAGATGTTCCTCAGTTGCAAATATACTGCCCTTGCTTTGCCGATCCGCGCCTTCACATCTGCATCAGATCCACCCTGTTCATCAATGATGCTGCCCAAATACGTAAAGGTTTTTACATCTTCCAAATCTTCTCCGTCAATTGTGATTGGATTGGTGCATTCTGTGTTGCGTCGGAGAATCCTGCTTTTCCCTTTGTGTATATTGAGACCTACTGCTGCTGAGGCTGCTGCCACACTGGTCGTCTTCTTCTGCATTTGTTGTTGCGTTTGGGATAGAAGGGCCAGATCATCTGCGAAGTCTAGATCGTCCAACTGCATCCTAGATGTCCATTGTATACCGTGCTTCCCTTCAGTTGTTGACGTCTTCATGATCCAGTCGATCACCAGGCGAAAGAGAAAAGGTGAGAGTAAGCAACCTTGCCTAACACCGGTCTTCACTTCGAACGACTTTGTCAACTGTCCTGATCAATTTAATAAAGCACTAATAAAAACAATGATTTTAATTACAGCTGAACAATAACTATTACGACGATAATTACTTGTTATCCCAGTAATTACTAAATGGGAATAGATTTACAGATAAGCATACTAATATATAACCGTAGCTTTCGGCCTGTGACATGAGTAATTATCATACAAAAAAGGTCACTCAGTCAGTCAGTAAACAGGTTCATACTTGTACACTTAACTTGGAGACATAATTATGTGTGAAGGCATATGATGATACGTAACGGATCATAGAACGAAAAGTGGCGTTAAATTAAGATCGACAGCTCAGTAATGCTTTAATCATAAAGTATAGCGTCGTACAGGTACATATAGCCATGGTTAAGTTAGACCTTACATATTTTTAAATTCAAGTGAGTAGAAAAAAGGTCAAACTCGTAATCTCTCGACCAAAAGTTAGTTATAAGCTTTAATTACTAAGCCAGAATACTATGGAGCCTTCATACACTTAAGACAGTTACCGAATAGTGGGTACGCACGATCCACATAGGAGAGTTGGAAAGCCCTGATTCTAAACCAATGGTGCACATGGGCTCCAGGATCCTGAGACGATCAGTTTATCGCATAGTATCAAAGGATATCTCAGTTGGATTAGGCTATGTTGGCTAATATTACAAAGTTGTGGATATGATCTTAGAAACAATGCAACTGAGAGGCTTCAGACAACTTACACACAGTCATTCAGTCAGTATCAACGCGGAACTTTGTACGTACGTACATCAG